ATACTTTTGTTAGAATAAATTATTCAAATTTAAAGTTTGTGTGTTTCTTTGTCTATACAGTATTGTACAAGTGAATTCTTTGTAATGGTTTCAGAATCTATAAAACCAGAGGAGGACTGGGGATGCAGCTCAGTGCTCAGTGCCTGCCTGGCAAGCAAGAGGCTGTGAGTTTGATTCCCAGTACCAAACAAAACCAAAGGAAAAGGAAAAAGCAGCATTCAGCTTTCTACCATTTGTGCTGCCTTAAGAGCGAATGCACACAGGGCTGACAAGACAGTTCAGTGGACAAAGCCCCCACTTTGGCAAGCGCAGGGACCAGGGTTCAATCCCCGGTTCTGTGCCCCCAAGGCACACTAAACCAACAACAGAGTCCCAGTGTGATGGCATATGGAGACTGCCAATAGGAGGATCTCCACAAGTCCAATCCGCATAGTGAGACCCTGTACCAAATAACAAAAATGGAAAAAAAATTTTTTTAAAGAGCATATGCACATAAACACGGGCCACTTTCTAGGATCAGCAGTGCTGGGGGGCGGGGGGAGAAACCAGGCTCTTGCCAGGTCATGCTACAGGGTCACCTACTGCTTCCTCAGTCCCAGTGGAGCATGGTCCGCAGGTAACGTTGCGATTGCTGAAGATCACAGAGCTGGGAAGATCGGTGGTCAGTTGTCACAGGCGGATTAAAGTGTGGAGTGGCGAAGCACAGGCTCTGTGTGCAACTCAGATAAGGACACAGCAGCAGTTTCACTCCACTGGCCACTGGCAGCAGGGACCAAGCAGCAAGGCAGACACAGGAAAGTCCGATCTTAGGATTGTTTTTAGGGATGTCATGCATACATATGTACATACATACATACGTACATACAAATGCCTCGGTGGGATGACAGAACTGAGGATTTTTTTATTTCACCCAGGATCCTGCCAGCACTGCTGCATTCTGATGAGATTTCCCTGCTGAGCATGACAGACACCCCTCATTCTTAAGCCCCTACCTGGTCAGGAAGTTGAAGAGTGGGACATTTGCGAGCTCACACATGCTTGGTCCAAAGCTGTGACGACGTTAGCTCCAAGTCTCTTTTCTTCCCTTCCTCTTCTGTCACTCTCAGTACTGAGGATTGAACCTCAAAGCTATATCTCCACCTATTTAAAAAATTTATTTTGAAGTTGTCCAGGCTGGGCTTTAACTTGTGATCCTCCTGCCTCAGCCTCCCAGAGTGCTGAGATTATAGGCATGCACCACCATGCCAGGCTAAAAATCCATGTTCTCTGTTTTTCAGTAGCAGTCACAAATAGTTTTAGTACTTTATGGCTTACAAAAAGCTTTCACAGCCACTTTTTATCCACAACAATCAGGCAGTTTTTATTTTATTTTATTTTTTGGTCTTTTCTATTTTTGCTATTAACAAGCAAAATAATTAAAAACAAGACCACAACAACCTTAAAGTTGAAACAGCAGTAGGTCAAATTGCTGCTGGAGTTCAGATGTAGCTGGGGTACATGCTCTCTCACTGTGAGGCAGGAAACAGGCACATGACTGTGCACTCAGGTGTATATGTGACCAAGAACAATCAGAAATGGAAGCCACCAGAGAAGAGACAGCATCAAGAACTTTTCATCACGCAATCCCAAAGCGCTCTGCTCTTTTCCTTTTCTTTGCTTCTGTATCCTCTGTGGTTCCAGTTTCGGCTGAATTTGTGGCAATCCCAAGTCGCTCCTTCCTCTTTTTCAGCTTCTCATCATCTTCAGACTTTCTAGAGATTGAAGAGACATTCAAACCAAGTCTTTGTGCTCTTTCCTTTAGCTGATCCAGGTTAACCACAGGCTTGGTAGCAGATGACAGACCTTTTGTTGGAACTGAGGAAATGCCAAACCTGGCTGCCCTAGCAGCCTTCTTGCTTTCCAAACTCGCAGGTACACTGAATCTTTCAGCCCTCTTTTGCATTCTCTGTCTGTGGCATCTCAGATGTAATTTTTACCACCTTTTTCTCTGATGCCATGTCAACAGTTTTTTCAGGAGGTTCCTCCTTTTTGACAGGCAGTTCTCCAGGCTTTGGTTCTTCCTGTTTCATCTCCCAGTAAAGTTCTTCATTCGCCTCCTCTGCAGCATGCTCTTCAGGATATGCCTGGAGCCTGCTGAGGAGATCTTGTTTTATTCCTTTGGTCTCTAAACCACGTGCAAGACATTCTTGCTTTAGTTCAGCAAGCTTCAGTTTATGAAGCGCCACCGTCTCTGTCGCCATCTTGTTATCCCGCCATTACGCAGGCCCCCCACCCATGTCCCCACGCAGTTCTTTAAAACTCAGAAAACATGGGCCAGGGAGATAGCTCAGTAGAATAAGCACTTGCCTGGTAAGCGCAGGGTCCTGAATTCAATCCTCAGTACCAAAAAAACCAAAAAACAAAACAAACTTAGAAAACATGTCTGGAGGTTACCTGATTGATTTAAAGTCACATATCTAATTAAGTGGGGAGGTGAGCCCCAAAGTCTAGTCTTCCATCAGCCTCTGGAGCTCACCTGTGGGCTGCATCAGCCATAGGAAGAAGAATTCAGCTCAAATAACCCCTTGCTCTTACTACGGCACTTATATCTCAAAGATAAGATTAGCTTCATGCACAAAGAACCAATAACGTAAGTACTGAATGTTGAATATTAATATTTACTGGTCAGAATGAAACCACTCCCAAATCACAAGTTTGTCAGAAATAAACTTTATTGACTTTTGTCTGATTGCTTACAATCACTCCAACAGGGTGGCATTTGTGCTCCACTGACAGTTCCAAAATCTGGCACACAGTTCTCTTTACTTCTGAGCTTTAAGTGTGTTTTCTACAAATAGTCTTTTTGTAAAAAGGCAGTTTTTAATAGAAGAAAATTCTTTTTCACAGTATGTCATTACACTTGCTAATAGATCAAAATATCAGGATAAATTGCTCAGCCAAGTTGTCACAGACTAGCAACTTCCTTTGGCCTCGGGAAAAGACCCCTCCCCCTAGTCTAACTTCTAAGGCATCTGGTTTCTAAAACCTTCAAAGTACACAAACACACCTAGTGTCTTAAATCTAGTCTTTACTAAATGTTCACAGAGAGGTCCCTTTTAATAATCCCTTTCATGGATGCCCACGTCTCTCCTTGAAAGTATTCAGGAAATGTTACTGGCCATATTCTATCATACTGTGCCTTCAATAAATAGTTCATAAAACAGTAAGGCTGGTGACATTTGTCTCGTAACCTACCTAGTGGGATGGACTTACTTATTGCAGTTATATACAGTGACCACTTTACAAGACTTAAATATATTGTATATATCTCCTTCTGTACCCTTTCAAATGGGGCTTGAGAGAAAACCCCATTACCTCCTGCTATAATGATTTAATAATAAATCATGCAGACCTATTATCCACGTGGATAATGAAGCTCTCCCTAGGGAAACTATGGAGTTGCTCTAGTCATTGTCCAGGTTCCCCTAGACCGGGTCAATATAAAAGAATCCCAAAGACGATGCTATTCACGCCATTGCTACCACGAAAGAACTCAAGTCAGGCCTTTGAATTAATAATTTAAATTTGCAAAACAATAATACCTTCAAACAAAACAATTTTCCTGTTACTATCAGAAGTTTCTGACAGTGTTTGTAACCTACGCCTATGGCATATATTCTACATGCTGAACACTTTGTAAGCAATCTTTTAGAGTATATAATTACACGATGCATCATAGGTGAGAAACTGGAAACAAATGGTTTAATAATAATTATCTTTACATGCCTTTTTTGTAAATTTGTCTTGCTTCAACAAAAATAGTCTCAGCTTTTATATCACTGATGTTTTTAAAAATCAAAGCATGAGGATACTAGTCTTAAATTTATAATTACACTACAAAATGTTTTAAAAAGTTCTGTGATCTGGCTAAAAAGCCTCAAATATCTTTTTTTTTTTTTTTTTTTTTTTTTTGGCAGAACCGGGGATTGAACTCAGGCCCTTGCGCTTGCCAGGGAAGCACTTATTCCACTGAGCCATCTCCCTGGTCCCAGCCTCAAATATCTTTACATTTATAGATAAAACAACAGCATTTCAAATAAGTGACAGCTCTTTTATAATGATTAAAGCAGCTCAACTATACCACATAATAGAATATGTCAACCAGCACAGGTCAGTTTTCCTCAGTATACATAAAAGTATTTACAAGGGAAGTGGTCTTATTAGAAATTATAAAAATTTGGTGATAGAAACATTTTTTCAATCTGAGTACACAGAATCAAAAAGTCATCACAGCGTTGCAAATGTAAAAATCATGTAAACTCAAATTCCCTTGCAATTACACAGTTCTCAAACATTCATATTTACAAGGTTTTTAAAACAAATATAAATGGAGTCAATATTAAAGTATATCGTGAAGACATGGTCTCTTCCAGGCATTCCCAGGTCTGGGTTCCGCCTGCAGTGGGCTAACCTGCAGCTCAAGAGCGGAAATCTGAGCTGGTGCATAGATGGAAGGAACGTAGTCGGTCCCCGAAGAGCTCCAGGTCCTGGGCCTCTGTGCTCACCAGGACAGCAGCAGGCAGCATGACCACAGCGACGCTGTGCTGACAGAGACACCACTGCGCACAGCCAGGGAGGAGTGCAGGAAACTGCCGAGTATGACGACATGGAGCTGCGCTCTGCACCCTCCTCTGATGCCAGACTTTTACCAGCAAAGAGGCTTCTCTCTGCTGCACTGCCACACATCTCCCTGCGGGACTCACCAAGGACAGGAAAGGACTTCCAAACAAGTGACCTCTACACACAGCCACTTCAAGTGTTTTACACTGAAGTTTCTAAATATGAAAACTGAGTTTTCATATTTAGTTTCTAAATGTGAAAACTGGAAACCTTTCTAAATATGAAAACTGGAAACCTTTTTGACAATAAAGAATCTATAATACTAATCATTCTTGTAGTTTTTATTTTTATTTTTTAAAAAGCTCTATGGAGGGGCCGGGGAGATGGCTCAGTAGAATAAGTGCTTGCCTGGCAAGCGCAAAGGTCTGAGTTCAAATCCCTGGTTCCGCAAAAAAAAAAAAAAAAAAAAAAAAAAGCTCTAGGGGTTGTGTGTTCAACAGAGTTGGAGAAATTAGCATTTACTGGAATGGGAATCCACCTGTACCCACCCGCTAATGCCCTCCTCAGCCACAGGAAACGCGCTCCTGTTCACATACAGTACACAGCTGCCCAGAGCCTTGGGGAGTACCACATGTAAGCCCTTGCCCACAGAGCTGGTAACTTGCGCATTAGCTCAGCCTTGCCCTGTGCAGCTTCGCCATCCCTCCTCGGGTCACTGCAGTACTGTCACTTCTGCTTCACAGGTGGTGCTGGGTGGCAGCCTGGGCTCTTGCCATTCCCGACTCACTTTACCTGGTTTGCCAAACAGTCACTGTTCTCACTCCTGGTGCCAGGCCATCCTGGGCCCTGACCCCTTGCAGGCAATGACTGCCCACTGAAAGCAGCAACAGAAATGGGATTCTCTTTGAATGGAAAGCACTGAACGCAAAATACAAAACAGTACCACAGGGAAGGGAGGGAAGACAGGAAGAAAAAGGGCAACACTCCCACGAGGACCACTGCAGTTCAGGAGCTGGGAATTAGTGGATTGTTTTAAAAAAGAAAAGAAAATACATAACTTTACTAAATTGTTTCCTTGGCCCCTGCAAACATACTCTCTCATCTGAAATCTCTGTAAAAGGATTTGGCTTTTTAACTTTTTATCAACTTCTCTTCCCAGACAGACAGAGCCATCTTGACAACAAATGGCCCAACATTTAAGTTTGTCTTCAGGTTTGGTTTTTCTTTTAAAAATATGTAAACAAATAAGGAGCAGAAAACTTTTGCCTATGAGAAAAGTCTGAACACGAGCAGGTAGCGAGGAAGGCCAGCGCACAGTCCCAAAGGAAGGGGCCTGGTTCCCGTCCCGCCCAGAGCCCGGAGCTCAGTCGCTGTCCGACTCCTCCTTGTACTTGGCCCGGATGGCCTGGCCGTTCTGCAGCGGCATTTCTTCATAGTCACTCCTGTGGGAAGAGAGAACTTTGACACCACGACACTCTTTAGCACACCATGCTAGAGAAACCCACTTTGAAGCTTCCTGCTCAGGGTTCTGTCGCCATCTGATCTTGCCCACTCCTCTCACGCAATGCTGAGGGCCCATCCAACTGGAGAACTGCTCTTTCTGCAGTCACCAAAGGATGCCACTAAAGCAAAGCCCAAACCACGTGAAAACAGGTCACGGAATGAGATGACACTCCAAGTGATATCTAATACCTTGAAGGCACTCATTCAGCACCCACGTAAAACCTGGTGTCCCATGAAGTGGCTCTGCATGAACTGGCACCCCACGAGCAGCTCCATAGGACCCTGACTCACCCATAGATCACATCGTCATCCGAGTCATTAAGCATGGAAAATGCCGGGTTGTCTTTCAACTGGGACTCTGAAAATCAACAACAGCCTTTTCATCTCAAGCAAGTTATGTTATTAGCCCAGCAAAAAATCTGCAAGAGCTGGCCGCCAACCCCAGCTCCTACAGGCACAGCTGTCAACCCGGGAGCCTCTTTCCTTAGCTCTGGGGCAGTCACTGTGCAGCCTGACAAAGTGGCCTGACAGCACTGGTGATCACTGGCACCCACCCATGGGAACTGCCCCACGGACAGTCTCCCCTAGGTCACACAAGCAGCAGGGGTGAGGACAGGCCCCAGGACACAAGGCCTGCTCCCAACCTGTCCCAGCCTGCAGCAGCCTCTGCTAGGTTTCTCTAGCTATGAGAGTGCTTATTCCTTTGACGTGAGGCTACCGTGAAGCCCACGCACCAGGTGACTGCATACTGCTCCTGGCCCAGCCATCCCCAGTCTTCATCCCAGGGCAAGGGCTGTCTTGCTTTGTTTTGGGGGGCTGCTTTCTAGATTGTGGCTCTCCTTTGAGTGGCCAGGACCCTAGTGTTCCACAGACTTTATTTCAGGTGGCTGATAGGCGTGTGTGTGTCAGGAGCCACTAACAAAATTAGCTTTTTCATCCAGTGCTACAACACACAACATGGCTCAATGTGTGCTGCGTTCTAGCCCAAACTCCAGGCTCCAGTAGCTTAAGTGCCTTGTCTCTCTCTGCTCAAACAGAAAACACCATAAATCATGGTGCCCAGCATACACGGAAAGCCCATCAGTGACTCCTGAACCATTGCAGACTTCTGTTTCATCCACCTGGCCAGTAACCCAGACCCGAGGTGGCTTACCATACAGAGCATTCTTCGATGGAGAATATACAAAGGCCAAAGTGTACAGGTAGAAGTTCAACAAGCCATAGAACGATAAGAATTCTGCTGGTGGTGCTGTCAAGGGAGTGAACAGCAGACTTGGCTCAGCTGGTGTCCCTGTTCTCAGTTTCATCCTCCTCCTAACCATCAGTAGGTTTTTTGGTGCTAACCACAAATAACAGGGGCTATAACTTAGTGGTCACGACTCCCTAGAGCAAGCCCATAGCCAGCGGCCTCAACAACTCTGCAAGGTCACAGGAGCTAACAGGTGCACTGTGACCTCTTCTGCCAGTGGGACCTGGATTGAGAGTACCCAGTGGGAGTCTTCTCACTGCAGGGTGCAGGATCTGGTGGGACCTAGTCACCTATACATAAAGGCTAGGAAGTGAACCTGGGTTTCTTGACCCAGCCTTGAAACAAACTCTCAGAGCAATTGTTCATTACCTACTGTGGGCCGCAACCTTTTGAGCATCTGATGCAGCTTAGTGTGAAATCAAGTGACAAAAATTGAAGCAGCATGTATTAATTCTAAGGATATGAGTGGTCCCAGGGCAAGAGGTGGCACTTACAGAACTGGCTTCTTCAGTGTTCCCATCCAGGGGGGTCAAAGAAGAGACACACACAGCACTCACCCAAACGAGGGCCAGGAGCCCAAGAGGAACAGCCTCTGACTGCCTTGGGAAGGGAAACCCCGCTACTCAGAGCCCCTTCCTGTACACACAGCCTCACCCTGCTAAGCTGTCAAGACCCCACAAAACTGACACTGTCAGGATCACCTGGACAATGAAGCACATGCTGACACACAGTTCAGCCCTTGGACCATCCCAGCTGACCCAGTTCAGACCTGTGACATCCAGACACACAGGCCTGCATACCGGAGGGAAAGCAGTGCAGACCAAGCAGGCTCCAGAGCCCTGCGCCTGGGTTTGGACCCAGGCCTGGCCTCATGGGGGCCATCTCAGGTACTGGCCTCACCCTGCATGCCTCACTTCCTGCCTGGGGGGCAGGGCTTGCTGACCCCAACCAGAGTGAGAAACACCCGCTTGCACAGACAGGGCACACATGTCCCCAGGCTTCCTGAGGACAGGCCACAAGACTGAAGCATCTCCTCCCAAGGCTGCAGATCTACACACTAATCACTACACATATTCCTTGGTCTCCAATTAAAAGGATATAATTCTGGTAATGAGTTGACAGCTCTGCTACAAAGTTGTCCTGTAATACTTGTGCTCCAAACCTTAAATAAAGGATGACGATGCTAAAAAAAAAAAGATGGGTGGAGACAATATTTTAAAATAGAGAAAGAAGTGGCTGTTGCTTTGTACAACTTATATATTTACCCCATTGATATTTACAGTCATGGAAACCACACGTACACACGTACATGCATACATACACACACCTCACAACTCCCTGCCTCTGTTCTTTTGGTCTCAGGTCCAGGAGGACCTAAACTTTGCCAGCTTTGGTACAGGGTAGACTGGCCAGAGGTGGAGTGCTGCATAGTTGCAAACCAGGGACCTGAACAGTGCCCACCATTTTCTCCTTCCCACCTCCCTCCACCTTGGTTCCTGTCTTCAACATCAACTCCTGCAACAGATCAACTCCCTTAAGGGAGACACTTCTCCTCAACCATGTCCTCCTTGTTGGTGCAGTGACCCACACATCTGTGGCCCAGGCCTCTGAAGATCCCTGTAAAAGGGATGCCCAAGGCCACCACTGGCCCTTCCTAGAAGAACTCTACGTCCTCCCACCAGAATTCCAGCCTCCTACCTGCCAACCTCCCTCCCTCCACCTCCAAGCCCTTCAGTGGTTTCCCACCATGGAAACAAACTCCAACTACTCCAGTGATCTACAGAGCCCACTCAGACCTCCCAGGAACCACCCTCACCAACTGCCCCAGTTTGGGCCTCCATTGATAGTGCTGAGCCTCTACCTGCTGCAGCCATCTCTGGCTGCCCCCTATCTTCTCGGGCCCTCTTTCTCCTCAGAACCCCTCGGGCCTCCATTGTCACTACATCTGCCTATCTTACTCTCACTGGGTCTTATGCTACTTATCTCCTTGGCTGTCACATATACTCCTTTGTGGACTATAACTGCCACACCAGGGAGGCACCTGTCTGCTGGCACAGGCACTTGACCAGTGCTCACAGGACAAAAGCATGAACCCCCTCGACATGCATCTAAAGACCACAAGGGCAGATCCACTCCTAGGGAGTCATGTGGGGGTCATAAAGTGAGAGCACCTGTGTGTAGACCAGGAGCCTGAAGGTTGATAGTGTGATACGTGTTGATTTGTGTGGGAAATTATGTCTGCAGTAGAGTGTGTGGTACACGTAGACGTAAGCAGGTGTATGTGGGAATGTGTATGAGGGTATATGAAGGTGAAAGAAAGTGTGTGTGCTAGCGCGTGTGAGGACATCTGTTAGTATGTGTGAAGCGGAGTGCACATAGGTGAGGGCGCGTGAGTGAGGGTGTGAGAGTATTACTGTTTGTTGCCAAGGACTGCGTGTACTCTTAGGTGGGGCTTTAGGTGACTGGAGTAGGGGGCATGATAGCTGACTTGTCGGGATGCAGAATCTGGTAAGAAGAAGTAGGTTGCTGGAAGCACAATGGAAGGGCCATCGCCACACTTCATCCGCTCTGACTCCCTGCCACCATGAAGCTTCTCCTCTGCCTTTTGCCTCTGTTATGCTGTTTCTCCTTTGTTGTTCATGGACTGAAAGCTGAGCTGAAATAAACCTCTGCTCTGTAACGATAAGAGCATTGTGTCTCAGCCACACAAAAGTGATTAAGATGGGATTCTGATACCAGAGATGTGCTGTACCGTTACACAACCATGTGGTTCAGAAGCCTCTGGAAATGGCTCATAGAAGCATGGAAAGGTCTGGAGATGTCCACTACAGAGGCCCTAGAATGCTGTGAGCTGAGCTTGACGGGAGATTCCAGTCAGATCTCAGAAGACTAGAATTTAATAGAAATGGAGAAAGACCAGGCTTAGGAGGTTTCAGTTGGGAACACAGATCCCACCGGCAGATGGACTCCAGACCATCTGTCATATCCTCTGACAGGAAATTCGTGTACATTTTCCCTCATGTCCTGATACTTTGAAAAAGACTGAAGATAACAGACTAATCTGGTGGGAGAAATTTCAAGGCAGCCCAATATTCAGACTGTGACATGGCTATTTTGGGGGGCTTTTAACCAACAATTCATTGAGAATCAAGAGCTAATGGCACAGCTGAGTGATTTTAATGCTGTGAAGTCAGGGCCTATAAAGTTGGAGCAGAGCAGCACATGGATGCTAAAATGATTAGTACTAAAAAGAAGGCCAAGTTACTTTACATCAGAACAAAGAAAAATGGCTTGTGGACAAGTGAAGAATCGACAAAACCCCACCTTCTCAGGCTCAAGAGTATAGCTACAAAGCTTTCACTTGAGAAGACAGAGCACTGTGCCCCAGGACAGCAGCCAAAGCAATTAGTTCCTCAGAATTTGGTTCAAAGTGCTCAGCATCCAGGCACTTGGGGTTGCTACAGCCAAGGCTCAAGGGGGTCTGGCTATTGTTCAAGCTGGTGCCAATACCTTGGCATCATCTATGTGGCGCTGGCTTTACAGACATGCAGAATGCAAGAGTTACAGAGTCAAGGATGCTTCTGCCCAATTTTTAGAAGACAGCCTAGAAGGTCAGGTGGCTTGCCTGAAAGGGCAGGGTGTGAACTGTGACAGTGAGGCCAAAGATGCAATGGAGACCCTGGGAAACTGGAGAAGCCAGGAATGCAGAACATCTGAGGAAATCCACAAGGAATGAGCACAAAGTCAGGAAGAGAGAAGTCAGGACAGGCGCAACCATCGAGAATACTACAGGGGCAGGGCTGTCCACGCCATATGGACAGCCATATCATCTCACCACAACTTGCCCAGAGGCACCGGACATGAAGCTACAGGATTTAACGTTGCCCTGCTGGGTTTTAGTTTTGCATTGGTCCCACTGCTTTTTATCCCCTGATTCTGCCATTTGAAATATGAATGTCTGCCCTATGCCATTTCATGTTGTGTTTTAACTTTTGAAAAAATTTTACATGGGCTCTGAGCTAAAGTTCACTTTTTGTTTCTGAGAAGACTTTGTACTTGGGCTTTTCAGCAAGGCTGAAAACTGAAGACTCTGGCAACTCTTACACATGGACTAATTATATGTTGGATGGTGACTAGATTTGAGAGCATTAGAACTAGCTTGCTGTTACAAAGTGGGTCTGGTTGGGAGACGCTGGTCCCTGCAAGTCTGACCTGGGAGGGCAGAGCTCTCGCCCCAGCCCCGCTCTCTGCTTGCAGCTTCCCTCCTCCTCCAGAACCTTCCACCATTCCTCGCCTGCCTTGGACTCAGCCAACTATGGATGGACTCCTCTAAAAACAGTGAGAAAGGATTTGGACAATATTTAAAACTTACATCTTCATGTGACTTTAGTTGCTGAATGAAACTGAAGTACACCTAGAAGGCAGAACTGGATCCCTGTGTCTAGGGGTAGAGGGCCGACCTGGATAGGAGTCCTCACCCTCAGAGAGGCTGGGAGCTCCAGAGCCACCTGGAGAACTGAGCAAGGGCCAGGCTCCCAGAGGCCCTGGGAGGCTCCCATCAGGGAAAGCCCCACATCCAATAACTGCCATCCAAAGCACCAGAAAGTAATGCAGAGAACTAGGTTGTTACTCTTCTGCATTTTTAGTTCAGGAGCCAGGCAAACTCAACAGCCAAGTAACTATTAGGACTTTATTGATAGGAACAAACTCCTCTGCCGGGGGCACCACAGGCAAGCACTGCAGTAGCTCCTCCCTGGGCCCAATGGCATGTTGCTCCCCAACACCTGCAACACTAACTCATGCTTCAATCCCTATCCTCTGTTCCCAAACTACTAGCAGGATCCCAAAGGCCCAGAGCCACCTCCCCACTGGTCTTCATACATGGGATCAAAACCACTTCAATGTAAATGCACAAACAGAAAAGATACTCATGACAATGGAATGAAAATTCAAAGTTATTTTGTAACATAAAGTCTTACCTAATAACAAGCACTACAAAGGTCAATGCTGTCAAAAATTTTAACCTGAGATCTAAAAAAGAAACATGCTCAGCAAATTTTACGTGCATCAAGGACCCCCACCCCACCCCACCCACCCACAGTCCTCTGCCTTTGCGCTTCAGCCTGCTGAACTGCTGAAAGGCAGCTGCTCAGGACCCAGGCAGCTTCAGGAGAGCTCCTGCAACCTCATTCTGGAAGGACATGGGGCATGGACCCTGTGATCAGGGGACGCACTCTACCAAGGACTAGGGAGTAGGCTTGACAGGAACAGGATCTGGGCTGCTTTCACAGCTCCAAAGCACCCAGAGCCACTGGCTTCCACCCCAAAGGCCTCTCACCAAATGGCCAATCATCCACTGGGACCTAGTGCAGCTCCCAGGGGCTCAATGTCCCTCAGAGGCAGCCTTACTGGGTGACTACTGCTGCAAGTGGCCCCGGAAGTGATGCTCACCCACGTAAGGCATGTTGCGGAGCTCGGAGCACGCACGCACTATCAAGAACAAGAGGTACAGGATGTACACAGCTGCCACCACCATGAAGAAAATCTTCATTCCCTGGGGGGAAAAATGGTACTTCAGTCAGAAGAGACCTCAGAGCCCCTGCACACAGCTCCTCCCAGCATCACACAGGCTGGAAAGCTATGCACAACCAGACGAACTTGCAGCCCGAGGTCATTCCTGGTCACAGAATGGGGCAGGGGTCCTCCATAAACACAGGCAGCTCCCACCAGAGGGCACCGCTAGGCCTCACACATCAGAGGAAAAGCCAGGGCCAACCCCCTTGGCCACATGCCTCCTGCCAGCCTGGGCCTGGGGCATCTGCCTAGTGGTGGAGGCCAACGAATGTCCCTCCCTGCTAACGAGGGCAGAGGCTCATACCCCCAGGACTGAGGCTGGACCTGGAGCTTGACAAGTCTCAAGGACCCCCCACCCCACCCTGCCTTGCTGTGTGTGAAATGCGGGGCAGAAAGGAATACATTTGAAGCTGGGGTCTGAGGAGGGCGCATCAGCAGCCCTGCCAGTCGGCACTGCCAGTGACGAACAGAGGCTCTGCTCAGAGCCAGGCCTGAGGCAGGTAATGCCTCATCTCTGCTGAGACCCTGCTTTCCTTCGGGTCCTATGCTCCTCTCAGCAGGGGCTTCTATCCCTTCCTGTCCTCTACACAGCAGAATTCCCCTTCACAGTTACAAAACAGAGAGCAGAGGTACAGGTCAGGGACTCAGATTCTACTTCTGCCTTGAGGGGATCTGTGTGGCTATGGTCTAGGCTTTATTTTCTCCACTGTAAGATAAAAGGGAGCATTTAGATGGCTGCTGCAAGCACCCCAGCAACTGCTGACCTCCACTGGGTCCTTCAGGAACAGATGCAGACCCACATAGCAGCTCTCCAGCTAGCCTGGCTGGGATAGGAAGAGCTGACTCACAACCCCCGGACAGGCCTCACCTACGGCCTTCCACATGCTGTCACTGGGCCACGTGACAGGACTGCTCTACAGTTCTTGTTGGAGGGGGGCAGGTGTGTGTTCCATTACTACCTCATTTCACAGATGAAAAAAACCCCGAAAGACCAGGAAGGAGGGAACGCCCACTCTCGGGTCTTCTGGGGATCCTGGTCACCTGGCCCCAGTCCTGGAGCTGCCACAGCTCCAACACAGTCACATGCACACTGCTGCTCCTGGTTCTGGGCTCTTCTCTGCTCTGAGCTCCCTCACATGAACACAACAGGGATGGTGCCAGTGAAAGTCTTGGTGACAGCAGATCAGCATGATCCACTGTTCTTTTTCCTAAACCTGGGGGCTTCGTTCACCAAGAGCCTGTCCCGGGGGCTGCTGAATCTTCGCAGCGGGAACCGCACCTCCTTCCTCTCTGTCCATGACCTCCCCTGACTACGAAACATCATCTGCAGCCCCTCCCTGGACTGCGGGGCGTGAGCCTCCCCCTTGCTGCCTCCTGCTGGGCCCTGCCCCACTGAGTGTGTCCTGGTCTCATGTCCCCATCCCATCCCTCACCTTCGTCTCCACAGTGTGGCCAGTGCTCTTTGCACCTCTCAGCCTCCCCTAAGTATCTGGGACAGCAGCAGCCTGCGATGCCACCAGCTTAGAGGACCAGCACTCCCACTGGACTTTGCCTAAGAATCAGCAGTCACACCTCTCCCGGCACACAAACCAACGTCCACACACAGTGGACTTCTTTGACATCTCACCACTCCCTACGCTTCCCACAAAGCAGCAGGATCTCACCACCTCCTACAAAGCCACCCTCAGAAGGCTGCACGTCAAGCAAGTCAGCCTGCAGTTTTATGCTATAGCAAAATTACTCACGTCTACATGAGTAAGGTTCCTTACTGGGCCGCACCTCCACCCCAGCACTCTGCCTAAGGCTCGGCCTCTAGCTGGGCCCAGGATGCGGCACAGCCAGGATACATGAAATAAACTGGTGAGACCCTTGCTATAAAAGCAGGAAGAACATTAGGACAGTGACACAGGGCACTGTCCCATGCGTGGCCCCAGGGTGACCTAACACTCACTTGTCACACTGCGTAGGCCAATGATGGCGAACCTATGTCACATGTGCCGTAGCAGGCTGTATTACTGAAAGCTCTGAAAGGTCTGCCATCACAGGAGGTGCACCACTTACCCTGGAAACCTTTACACAGTAGCATGCACAGGGATGATTTCTTAGTTGCCCTAAAACTTGCTGCACCTCCTGGGTTCTGGAACTTCAACCAGAAACCAGACTGGGAATCAAAATAGTTGCAAAAGTCTAACACATTTTAAAAATTTTCCACCCTTAAATTATTTAGGGCCCCTCCCAAGTAGCTCATTAGGAAAATCATGTCAACAGGACATTTTAAGTTACAAAATGAATCCCTTCCTAAGATGGCACTTAAAACAAGGTTCTCAGGCTTCATTAACACGCCTTACCTGAAAATTTCCAGTGTCCACTCGATACTGGTACATTGGGTCATGTAATTCATTAATTCTAAAAAATGATTATTAAAATTACACATTAGTAATGAGCTTTACTTTTTATTTTATACTTCTCTCACTTGGCTTTTTAAAAACTGTTAATGTAAACTACTTGGGACAACAGCAAATAATTTTTTAAAAAAGTCATAAATTTGTGAAAGATCCTAAATTCCAGATTTCACATTGAAAAAGCAGCCAATACCAATAGCCACATTCACCAACACAGGGAGGTCGCAGCACTTCGCATGACAAAGGTCTCTTTGCTCTTGCAAGTGTGAGAGCTCTTCATGAGCAATGGAGGTAAATACTGACTCCTATGAAATTAATTTTCAGAAAGAAAATAGGCAGCTGAGCTGCCAGGGACGCAAGAGCATGGAGTGGAGCAGGCGGGTGAAGTCTGATTCTCACACGAACCACGGTAGCCATTTCCTGATTGGAAACTGCTTGAACACAGTGCTTCCTGGGCTGTGACCCAGGCATCTGCTGTGGCACCGCCTACCGAAGGACAATGATACTGAAAGGATAAAGCCCAGGCTTAGAACGTTTGGAGACATATGCAGGAGGCTGGGAGGACCCAGAGCGTCTGCTGGCAGAGGACAGCTTAGCCCAGCATCACGCCAACACCAGTCTCTGGGGGGAAATCGACACTGGCACAGCTCCTTCACTTTCCACGCCGGGGTACTAGTCATGCATTCTCAACAAGCCACTTGGGCAGATCCTCAGAACCAGTCACCCAGCCACAAGTGAAATTCAGGGAGACAAGTCTTTCTGGGTAAGGCCACAAGGCCACTGTCAGATCTGGTTGGCCCAGCTGTCACTGCTTTTCAGGAAGGACCCAATGCATCAAACACAATCACTCACGTTTGCCATATTCCTAGAGTGACAGACGCCAGCCACAATAGTCCGACGATGAAGAACTTAGGCAAATAGAAAGTTAAGCATTTTCTTTCTCCCTAAAAAGGAAAGACATAGAGAATACAAAGTCAGCAGTTCTGGCACAACAACGCTAACCACCCCACCACAGCACTTCAACACGGTGCGCATCCCGCTGTCCGCCAGTGGAGCAAGGGGCTTTGCGTGGTGCCTCTTAGCCTGCAGGGTCTCCAGGAGCGTCTGCGAAGGCAGCTCTGGCTGACGCCTACCTGGACTCGTATCCCGTGGTACACACACAGCCAGAAGAGCAGCAAGGCACATAGGAACACAGACTGAAAGAGATCGTCCAGCATCCCTGGGAACCAGCTGTTCACCAGGAAGGAGAGGGGGAAAAACGGGTCTGGAAGGCAAGCAACAGAAACACTGATGAGACCTAGACTGGCAGCAACAGCCACAGCCCAGGCTCCTCGAGGCCAGGGTGGTGTCTCCAGTCACAGCCACAGGAAAGCCAGGGAATCAAAGGCTATGTTTGTTCTCTGTATTTTTTTTTCTGCACTGTGATTAAGCCCTTTGCACTGAGCTATGTCCTCAGCCCTTTTTTTTACTGTTCATTTTGAGGTAGGCTCTTGCTAAGTCACTAAGTTCCTAAAGTGCCCAGGCCGGGCTCAAGCCTGCAATCCTCTTACCTCAGCCTCCCAGAGTGCTGGGATTAAAGACGTATGTCACCATGCCCAGCTGCTATTTTGTTTTCAAAATGCCTAAAAGCCACAGAACAGATTGCTGCAGTGATCACCACAGAGAGCCGTCTGCCCCTGCATCGGCTCCTCCCACAGCCCTGGAATCCCGAGGAAGCAAACACTTTCTGGAGCAACTGCGTGGGTATCACCAGCCAAGTTCCAGGCCTGCTGGGTCTGCAGCCGAGTTAAAGACCTGAGCATCTGCTGTGGCCTGTGCAAAACGGCACCCGGGAAGCAGCACTGTGCCAAACACACTGCAGGGACTCCCATGGGCATCTCCCTCTGGGGACTCTGGGACTAGGCCACCTCCAGGATGGCTGCCAGCTTTCAGTACGAAGGGGAAAGGGCCAGGGCAACGACAGTACCTACCATTGTACAGCAGCAGCAGTGGCAGGAGGACAGACATCCACTTCTGCTCGATGCCCCAGTCTCTCATGGAGAACTTGCGCAGGGAATGCACAAACAGGCACTGCAGAGCAAACAGACCCCAGAGACCACTCGTGCTCTGCCCCCCATCAGGTATGGCCCCCACCCCACAGTGGTCTGCGGGCCAGGCCAGATGTGCTGGGTTAAGGGCTGGCTGAGTAAACTACTGCAGTCAAGGGGCCTCAATGACCCTGAGACAAGAGGGGTGGCAGCTGCGTGGGGACCACAGGCGAGATGGGTCACAGACATTCTCACAGGAGCAAGGAGGAGGAGGAACACAGTGGCTGTAAATTCTCTGCAAATGTAAAGAGCACCACTGGTCTCACTTCCCCCTGGGCAGGGTGCTTTTTGGACTCACGCTCAGATGATACCCACAGATCCCCAGGCACAGGGACATCTGTGGATTCCACCAAGAGGCCACATTCTGATGGGGCAGTTTATACAGATGGCCTCCTGGGGAAGGTATGAGGGCCCTGGAAAGTGTCTTTAAGCTACTTTAACATGGTATTTAATCTGTGATGATTAGGCTGAGGAGGTGTGTGTTTATTTTTCTATAATCTGACCCACACTGGTAATTTTCTAGGCAATCTGGATTTCCTGGGTCATTTCCCCAGTGCAGGTTGTCTGACAAGGGTTAAGCCTAGTTTGCCCTTTCACAAACATACTTAAGGCTTCGAATGCCAGTCTCTGGACCCCAGCAGAATCTCAGGCACCAGGCAGCCCTAGAGAAACAGTGACAATTTCACACCAGCCAGAGAAGATGCCAGCACCCACCTCACTAGTGAGGTTCTCTGGGTGACACAAGCACCCAGCCAAACATAGGGGCTATGTCCTGCTTCTAACCACCCTCCCCACATGCCTACCACATGCCTGTGTCCTGCTCTGCCAAGAAGTCTATAAAGTACCACATGTTCCTTAGGGAGCAGCGGGAGGGCCTCCACTGCAAGGAGTGGACACATTACCTAAATGTCACCCCTCTGTACCAGCACTGGGGGAACAGCTGATGAGGGCAAAATGCTACCCTTCGGATGGAGGCTAGCCACTAAGTACGGCACACGTGTCTCTAACTCATAAATCCTCATCTTCATACACTAGCCCTGTGGGGTGGCACCCTTATGTTCCTAGGAATGAAGTACTCCCCCAACGATAGTGACCTGGACACAGAAGAGCCCAAAGTGTGCCACTCCAAACCACTTCTCTGGAGCCTTATTGCTGAAAAACTCAGACACTAAAACTTCTTGTACAATTTTCAAACATAAAAGGCCAACAATGGCTATATCTGTACCTAGAAAGGTCATCCAGATAAGGCAGAATCTCTTCCACACAGGTTCGGTGGCATTTGTCACTTCACTTTGACAGACATTCACATAAAAGGGACAGAGGTCCTAATTAAACAATCTACATCACGCTTCTTTGCATACAGCATCTCGGCTGCCCTGCCACACAGCATGGCCAGCACCAGGCCTGCCTGCTGTCACAGACTGTAGGGCTGGAGAACTCCCTGCGTAGCTTGCTCTCCGGGGACCACAACTGCATAGACCAGCCTTGGCCCCACTGGGACTTGCTGCCGTCCCCCCAGCAAACGGTACTCACGGTGACGATGAAGGTAAGCACCACAAAGACAAAGCGAAACCAAATTTCCAACTGGGAAAACACAGGGTCATATGTCTTCCACTGAAATGCAAAGTAGGAGAAACAATGCAAGATGTTTTTTAAAAGCAGCTAAGAAGAAATACACTAGCCTTTAGTAATAGTTTCCTCCAAATATGAGGCTGTAGGTAATTTTACTTTATTTTATTTTATTTTATTTTTTGAGACAGGGTTTCACTAAGTAGTTCAGACTGGCTTAAACACCTAAGTACTAGGATCATAGGCACCTAGTCCAAAAATTTTAAATGCTTTTTTTTTTTATGCTTTCCTCTATGTTGCAAAAATTTAATACTTTTTTCCCCCATTACTGGGGATTGAACAGAGAATCTTTGCACTACATAGATTTTTGTAAGATGCAAACCCGTGAATAGAATTTTCTATGAAGGTTTAAGTAAAGCATGCAAATATGAATCTGAAACCAGAAAAGTAAACTGCAGCGACGTTTGTCAGTGCTGCTGACTGCGCAGGTCCTTGCTCCTCCATGAGCCAAAGGTGCAGCTGCCACCTGTCCAAGGCAGGGCAGAAAGCAGAAGGCCCAGCAGGCCTAGTCCCAAGCCAGACTCACAGCCACACCCAGAAAGCAGCACTGCACAGGACCAATGAGACCATCATTTTTACACATTGAGTTAAAGTCGTCTCAGCAATTTTAATAACTCACCTCACAGAAAGTAAGAGCCATACAGATTTACATGACATTAAAACACACACGTATACAAAAACAAACACACACATAATGTACATGTGAACAGTTTAAGACACAGGACTTGAGGCAGTGAAGAAAGGTAACGTCTGGCTGAAGGGAACAAGGTGTCCCTTAGATGTCCCCAGTCATCGGGAAGTCCAAGGAGAGCCATGTGCTCTGCCTGAGTTGGGAGCACACAGCTGGGAGCCCTCCATAGACTGAGTGCTAGAAAGAAAAGCCCCATGACTTGGCCACAGGCACCCCACCCCATCTCCATCCAGAGCACACGTGTGAGCGGACACCAGGAAGCAGCAAGCCTCCCCCGGGGCCAGTGGTGCCACCTGTTCCCAAGAGAGCAAATTTGCATGCCCCGGGGCATCAAGGAATGCACATTTCTGCTGCCATGGCAGCAAACTCAGACTGAAACTTAGCACTGACTGCTTTGGTCCCACCCAGCAAAGTTTAAAATTAAAGCCTGAAAAGATCCAAGTGTTACTACACGACAGATAACATCCCAGAGCAAAGCTTAAGAACATTTATGAGAAAACGAAACCCCGCAACTACCAACATCTGCTCTGAATCAAAACTACCAGATGGGCCAGGGGGCAAGCTCAGTGGTAGGGCACCTGCCTCACATTCTGGAGGCTCAGGGTCCAATTCCAAGCACTACATTTAAAACAAAACAAAACAAAACAAAACAAAAAAAAAAAGCAGGTGAATACAGACCATAATAAGGAAAAACCTCAATCCACCCAAAGCAATCCAGAAATCAAAGTGATAGAACTAGCAGAGAAGAACACGAGGTGAAAGGCTCAACACACTCAGCAGACGTGAAAGACAGCAGATCAGAGAACAGTGAATGCTGAGGACACAGGAAAAAGCAAAAGAGGGAGCACGGCAGCTGTAGGATGACCTCAAGGGGCCGCAGAGATGTGTCTGGAGTCCTGAATCTGCGACGGTGGGAGGAAGACAGAAAAATATTTGAAGAAATAATGATTAAAATTTTCTCAAAGGTGAGAAAATTACAAACTCACAAATCCAAGCTCATTGAAGTGTAAGAAATATAAAGAAAAAGATTTCAAGGAACACTGCAATCAAATTGTTTAAGTAAACAAGAAAAATCTTAAGACAGTGGAAAGGGAAGATGAAAAGGATATATTATTTCAGAGGATGAAATCAAGACAAACATTAGGAACATGGTAGGTTTACTGGTGGAAAAAGCCCAAGCCAGAAGCCAGTGGCAACATTTTTTTTTCTGTATTTTTTTTAGGGAAGGGTCTACAGGGTGTTCAGGGTCTCACTATTAAATTGGACTCGTAGTGATTCTCCTCTCTACAGCCTCCTAAGAGCTGGGATTATAGGTGCGCATCACGACGCCCAGTCTCAATTGCAGTCTTACCGCGCCCCTGGTGTGGGGCCAGCACCTCAGGCCTGGGGATCAAACCCCTGGCCCCTGCACCTGCTTGCAGGCACTTTAATCCACTGGGCTATTTGGCCGACCCCGCAACATTTTCAAACACAGACAGGGTTGTAAGAAACTGGATCACTCGTGCACTGCTCATGGGATGTGGAACAACATGACGTCAGCCTAAGTCTGGGGCTCAACCATGCCGACTGGCTACTCCACTGGTAAGATTCATCCTAAAGAAACAAAAGACGTGCACACAGATGTTCACAGTGGCTTTCTTTATAAAACTCCCAAACTGGAAACAAGCCAAATGGCTACCAGTAGGAACAACAACAAAAATGAACTATAGCTATACCCAACATTGCAGTCAATCTCCAAAGAATTATGACGAAAGAGCATGTACTGTACACATTGTATTCCTGTGCATACCCCATAAACTATTTCTATTTATAAAAAATTCCAAACTATGTAAATGAATCTGTAATGAAGGCAAATTAGTGTTGGCCTGGGGATGAGACATGACAAGAGGACATGGGGAAAGATCTTTAGAGGGGATGGGTGGCAACAGGGGCCCATATCAGTACCCTGGTTATGAGGATGAGTCCCCAGGCCTGATGTACATCAACACTGGTCAAATGTCGTATTTTATTTAATTTATTCATTTATTTATTTTTTTGGCAGAACCAGGGATTAAACTCAGGCCCTTGTGCTTGCCAGGCAAGCGCTTATTCTACTGGGCTATCTCCCCAGTCCCAAAATGTCACATTTTAGATATGTACACTTCAGTGTATGTCAAACACTCCCTCCAGTAAAAGTATCAAGCGAAAACCAACAGCTAACACCTATGCTGATGGCAGAGTGGAGCCCACAGCGAGTAAGCACGTGTGGGTTCTGAGTGCCAGCGCCTCCATTCCCCAGCTGCGCACTAAGGAGGCCACGAGCCTCGGGTCTCCCCTCCAGAAGATGAGGTGCCATTACCTACTTTGCAGAACTAGCATGACATTTACACAATGCACAAGAAACAGTAACTCCGTGCCTAGCAAACAGTGGAGGTACAGTAGACAAGGACTTGTAGCTGGGTGCGGTGACACAAACACGTAACCCCAGTCATTATCTTGGAGGCTGAGGCTGGAGGAACGCAACTTCAAGCTCTGCTTAAGCAACTTAGCAACTTAATGAGATCCCCTCTTAAAATAAAAGATTTGTTAAAGGGCTGGAGATGTAGCTCAATGAGAAGGCCCTGGGTTCAATCCATAGACAGACAGACAGACAGACAGACAGACAGACAGACACACACACACACACACACACACACACACACACACTTTCCACTATAAATCCAAAACGTAACTATTATGAATACTGTTATAGTGTTGAAATTTGAAGACAGTATCATGTCATTTATAGAATAACCACAGTCATGATTCTGAGTGTGGAGGAGGGTGAGGTGGACACAACACCCAAATAGAAAGAATGAGAGTACGTCCTACTTGAAAAGCCATACTGTAAGGCATGATCTAGAAGAGAAGACAGAATTGTTACCATCAGAATAAATACAAAATATGGTCAAAGTAAGAGTGACAAAATACTGCTTTTCACCCTCAAGAGACTGCAACTCTTAAGAAAAAACCCTAAGAACTATGGATTCACTGAAGAAGGGGGGTTTTGTCTTAGCAACAAGAAACAATGGATGTATTTAAAAAACTAACACTAGAAAATAATGATTTATTCATGAGGCTAAAGCTAAAATACACATTTTGGTTCTCAACTATGGTTAATTGGAGGAGACAGGGACGCAAGCATTCGCCTGATGCTCAACTTTGACACAGGGGCCTCGGGTGCCTTTGTTACACTCAGTTCAGTCCTGTCCCCCTGGCTAGACCCTCCTCCACCCACAGTCCTCTCTGGCAGCCCATGTGCTCCTCAAAGTCAGAGCAGAGGAACAGCTCAGCCTATAGCTCACTGTGCCAGGGCTGAAGAGACTGTTTCCTTCCTTGTACTACAGCCCAGAGACAGACCCTGCCCTTTTGCTGCAGACTGCAGACCCCAGCCCACCAGCCCACCAGCCCACCAGCCAGACCGCGTTCAGCAGGGCAGAGGAATAAGGGTCAGAGAACTGTGGGTAACACCAGGCAGCAGCATGTAAGAACCAATACCAGCCTGGGGATGCTTCCCGGTGTAAAAGGTCCTGATTCTATAAAATAAAGGTGTTTTCTGTTTTTATTCTTAACCTCTCAAATATATACTTGAAATTAAAATGTAAAATAAATGGAAGGAAATAAAGAGTAAAATCCCCAGAAAAGAATCAAGATTTCACATCACTCTACTACTGACTTTACGTCCAGGTCCTATTGGCATCACAAAGCCATCTGTTTCTCGGAGGCTGGACCTGCCCTGTGAGACTGTGAAGTTACATCGGGAACATGCACACAGCCACTGTCCTAGGTCACCTCCCACCATGACACTCCTGGGCCTGTGGCCTGGGTCACACATCCAACCCATTCAGTATCTCCTCCAACTTCTTATAGGCAAAGATGACATCAAATCCTGTGCAGATGTGAATTTTGAGAAAAATATAACTAGGAAAACTGGCTTCGGGAGCTAATTCCTCAACAGAGAACAAATGTCTTCTTATATTCTCGAACCCCCTGAAATGCACCAACAGCATCAGGAACACCCGGAGGGTGGGGAGCACGTGTTGGGGAGCCACTCTTCGGATCTACTGACATAGAGCAGTGAGCAAAATTCCTGGAATGAGGACCCAATTCACACCCCATGCTTCCCAGACCTTCAAAGCAATGCAAAAGACACTCTAGAGAACTACTTGTGGACAGAAGAGAACAATGTTCAAGACATCCATTATCAAACATGGCCGCCTGCCAGCTCTCTCAATTCACACGGAAACCGGTGTGACCACTAGAGAGGACCGAAGGGCCACGAGCAGGGGCTGTTGTTTTAACTTCATCCCACAAAAGTCATAGTTTAGGAAGATAAAGGAGGAACACATGAACAGCTGGGTACAGAGTGTCACTCAGAGGGTACTCTGAGAAGCCCTCGGAGGAAAACATGCCCAGGTAAACTGTGAAGGCCCCACGGGATGCACAGAGAATACGTCATAAAAGCTCCGGAGACCCACAGGAAGGTGAGTAAAAATGGCCTTCAAGAAGTCGGGCCTGGAGCCCCACTGTGTGTGCAGGCACCACCAGCAAAACCAGCTGCCTGCCTCGAAGGCACAGCAGGTGAGCATTACCCGTGTAGCAGCCCCCTCACTGGCCGTCTGGAGGAAACACCGCTATTCTGGTTACCTTCTGCCAACATGGCCCAAAAATACTAACTGGAAAAATTTCAGAAAGAAACCATTTTTAAGCTTCAATCGTGTACCGCTCCGAACGTCAAGCCTGATGAAACTGCATGCTGTCCTGCCCTTTCCCCTGGGGGCACGAATAATTCTTTTACCAGGGTACGCTGTGTATTGTACATGGATACAGACATAGCAATAGAAATATATAGATATAATATAGACATACAGAGATGGAAAATGTCCATCAACTGGCGAATGGATGAACAAAATGTGGTCCATTCATACAATGGAATTTTATTCAGGGGGGAAAAAAGAGAATGAAGTGCTGATGCTCTAAACCATGTGGACGGCCTTGAGAACAGCATGCTCAGGGAAAGCAGCCGCTCACACAAGGCCGCCCCCTCTGACTCCGTGCACAGGAGCTGTCCAGACCAGGCCAACAGTCAGCGCAACAGGACAAGCGGTGACTGCAGGGACCCAGACGAGCTGTCCTCATCACTCACTCCAAGGCTCAGACACAACACCCAGCACCCATAGCTTGGAGGGGACGTTTATTTTGATGCACTTTCGGTCCACGGTTGGTTGGCTCCAGGGAAGGAGGGCGTGGCAGACTGGATGCAGAGCACGCCCTTCCCGCTCCCCTCCTCATTGCTCTCCACTTCTGCCTGCCACACCATGAGCAGCACTAGGTGATGTACATGAGATTTTGGGGACCTGAAGCAGAATGCTATGGTTTAATAGCTAGATGCCCCCAAAACCCTCATACACTCATAGGTGGGGCTTTGGGACACTCACAGCTAACATGCTGTTCAGAGGTGGGAGTCTACTCCACAGAGGCAGGTGGCTGGGGGCTCAGTGGGAGGGCAGCCCCCCCATGCCTGCCTTCCCTCTGCTGCCCGACTGTCATGCCACACACAGCTCTCCTCTGCCTGGCCTGTCATGCTGCCCTGCCTCAGAGCCAAACTTGCACCGAATGAAATCCGAACGTAAATAACCTCTCTCTGTTTCAGCTGTGGGCAACAGATACTATGTCTCAGGGACAAGAAAGTGACAATAAGCCGTGGGCGACAACTAACAGGTGTCTTCTAGGAGTGATGAAAACATGTTGGAATTACACAGTGGCATCAGCTGCACAACTATGAATATACATGACATGACTGAACCAAGACTTTTGTTGATTTTCCCTTTTTTTAAAAAAGGATTTAGCACTGGGTCTACAGGGTCTCACTACGTAGATCTGACTAGTAGTGATCCTCCTGTTCTCAGCCACCCAAGTGCTGGGATTATAGGCATGCACTACCACACCCAGTCTCAGTCGCTGTCTCAGTGCACCCCAGGGGCAGGGCAGGCAGGGCTTGTGGTACCTGCGATCCAACCCTGGCACCTGCACTCCTCCTAAGCAGACCCTTCAGTCTGCTGAGCTATCTGGCCGGCCCTGGTTTGCTTTTCTGTTTGTTGAAACAGGGTCTTGCTATGCAGTTCAGGCTGGCCTTAAATTCACAGAAATACTCCTGCCTCAGCCTCCCAAGTGCTGGGTTTACACACATGCACCATGCCTGACTACCATATACTTTAAAAGGGTAAATTTTATGGTATGTGAATTATAGCTCAAGAAAACTTTCTTTTTAAATCTAGGGGCTGGGGAGATAGCTCTGAGTTCGATCCCTGGTAGCAAAAAACAATTATCCATAGGAAGAAATTGAACTATAGCTTACCCCTGGACCCCAAATGCATGTTTTCAAGCTAGCTTCTTAGGATGTTAATTTAGGCAAACAACTTGTACTATTTTCCAATCTAACGTCATCTCTATTGAACTTGTAGCAAAATCAACTGGAAAATTGTAAAAATCAACTGGATACATAGGAGAAAATTTCAGAAGCCCAAGATGCTAACAAAACCTGTTTAACATTATAGCGTTGGCTGCTGATACTAGCAAAGTACTATACAAAATGAGCGCCCCCCCATTTATCCCTTACCAGTTTCATTAAATACAATAGAACAAAGCAGCTGTTTTACAGGTAAAATAAACTAGGCTCAACAACGATAATCTGGTAAACAATCAGGCCAGGATTTGCACACAGCCCATCTGTGCCACCTGAAGCACCCATCCCTGCTCACTCGGAGGGTCCCATGAAGGACAAGGAGGTAGACTTCAGCCGGATGCGAGAAAGGACAATGTATCAGCACAGTGCCCTCCTCTCCTAAGGCTCTGACGACCCCTCTGGAGGTGGAGCAGGCCTCCTTCACAGGACCACTGGTCGACTACGTGAGCCTTCCATCCCTTCGTACTGGGGACTATGGTATTCTAACTCTCAGTACACCTAAGGTTTTTCCAACTTCTACCCCACTCCCCTCAGCTATTCTTAGTTCTATTTTATTATTATTATTTTTTTTTATTCATAGTTCTATACACTTAAGAAATCAGGGTTTTCCTGTCCAAAAGAATCTTGCTAGGTGGCGCGCTGTGCTGCAACCAGCCAGCAGAGCTGCACAGAAGCCTGTGTGATGCACAGCGTACTCACTGTGAAGTTCATCTCCTTGACAGGGAGGCTCAGCTGCTCGAATCCCACAGTTACCGTGTACTGGGTGTAGTTCAAGTAGCCAAGGTGAGCCACAATGATTTCCGCACATTTCTGCAAACACAGAGGAGATCAATAACTTCAAAGCAGTGAGGAGAACCTTCCCACCAACTGACCCTCAAGTCACACATTTCAACACTCATTTTCCTCAGAGAATTCACCAAAACCTCAGAAAATCAGACACTAGTTAAGAATAGTTCCTAGAAAGTGCCAAATGGGTGTTTTTCAAAACATACCATACAATTTGTAATAATCAGAATCGCCCTACTGTGGATTACTGAAAATAACATCACCTGCATAAAAATGTTGGCCATGCGTCAACACAAACCTGGTGTTTCTATAAACACTGTGCCGCACAAGAGAACCTCAGAGGAAGCCAGGAGATGGGCTGCTGCAGCCTAGCCCGCCCTCCTGCAATTACCACGTGCATACGGAGCAGGCACCATGCTTTTCTTCCTCCCCTTTTTGCTTGTCGTTCCTTACAGCCTTTCTCTTTTCCCCACCCCACAAGGAAAGGCTATGTGAACAGCCACGAGAGGACGATGTCATTTGTATGGTCTACCATGAAGTCCTTTTGGGAATCAGAAATCGGTGTTCTCTGCCTCTTCCTTGGCTGTCCCCTATAGAAGCACAGGTGGACAAATCCTTGCTCCAGGACACAGACATGCACTGGTCAGGGTCTGCCCCAGCCCTGCCACATTGCCAGCATGCCCTGGATTGTGCTGTGCGTTCTTCTTCTCTGGGCCATAAGGTAACCCAACCACTGCTCAGAACTTCTGTGCCTTTCCAAGTGCCACTGTCACTGCCCTGGCTCTAAGGCTTCTCAAACCCAGAATGTCAGAACAAGAAAATAGATGCCCCACAGGTAATGCTCACCCAAGAGAGGAGGGAAAGCCAAAAGCACAAGGCCCAAAGCAGCATAAAGGCTGAAAAGTCTTAAAACACTTGGCCAAACTGGCAGCCAGGGACCCGTGGCACAGCTCAGCACAGTCAGCCGGGTGGGGAGGGCTGCCCTGCAGGCCCCCCAGCTCCTCCCCACTTCCCACATCGCTGCTATTGTTCCTCTCATGCAAGCTGCAGTTTTCTTTCCATCTGAGCAGCTTTTCTCATTTGAATCAGCTTCCTTCCCTCTAGTCATGGGCACGTGTTTATGAATACTCGCCTTTCCTTCCCAATAGTCACAGATGCAAGGCCAGGGGCAGACAGTGAGCATATTTCTGATGGACAGAGAAGCACTTCTGGACGACCACTGGGATGGCTCTCTTGAAAGAACACCATTTGTCTCCTCTTGGGCTAACCCTGGCCTTAATTCTGGGTACTGATATGTACAGAGCCGACTAGGATGATACCTTAGGCCCTGAACTGGCCTCAGGCAATGCGAGTGGGTCTAGCACAGGTGCTGAGGTGTAGCCTTTGAAGCAATGGGACAGTGAAGTGATGCCTGCCTAAAGCTTCCGGCTCACAAGGTGAGCCAGGCCAGCGAGGGCTCTGCAGCTGAGACTGAGGCGCAGGGCACGCGTGAAGCAGACTAGAAACACAAAACACTTCCTCAAACGAGCAGGCAGATTCCTCCAAACTCAGAGGCCACCTGTTCCCAGAATCCTGTAGTTTCTGCATACCTCTCCCTGCACGTTGCAGAGGTGCTACTCCGCCCCCTACTGGCCCAGGTCACGGCACTCACCTACTTCCCACCATTCTCAGTCACTCACTCACCCCTGAGCCATGGCCCTCTTCACAAGTTAGCAACACCTGGGTTTGGCCCTGGGTCGTGGCCTCTGTTCCTGTTAGTCATTATTCTGACTGGACTTAGGACCCCCTTGCCTCCTCACAACTACATGAATGTTTGTCTCTTTAGTCTCACTATAGTTGGCACTGGAAGCGGCAGATTAGAATTTACTCACTAGAATTGCAGTAACCTTTCTCTGGGATTACAAATGTGGACTTCTCTGGACAATGAGGCCAGAGCAGGATCTCTGTAATTTTCTACAAGGATAAGAACATGACTCAATTTTCAGGGGATGTTTTAACAAGAGTTACTGATTGGCTTAAATATACTTTCACACTAAAAAAAAAAACCCATGTGAAGCCACTTGCAGATTTGTGGATCTCAAATTCAAGCCATGGCTCTAATGCTGACTGCAGCATCCCTGGTGACAGGAACTCAGCTGTTCCCTGTGCAAGGGGTAGACAACCTTGCTACCCAAGACTGACAATGTTTCCTTTTTGCATAAAAAAAAAAAAAAATTGGGCTCACTTTGGCAGCATATACACTAAAAAAAAAAAAAAAAAGTATTCAAGGAGAATGGCAAATGCCTCTGTAACACCAAGATTCCATGTTTTCTTAACACAGGACAATGTTCCTTGAGGGTTGGGGACAGACGGGTAGACAAAGAACAGAAGAGAACTGTTCCCAAGGGGTGACACAGTGTAGGCTGAGGCAGGACCACCAACCGGAGCAGGAGGAAATGACAGAAATGTTGTGATGGCCAACGTCTAGGTGTGACAATGCAGCCAGCACCCTCATGTGGCCTGGCTCTCCCTGAAGCCCTGGCTTTGGGGTGGGTGAGAGGCAGCAAACCTGATTCTAAAACAGTAAGCCCACGTGCTAGGAAATGCCACACAGGGTAATATGTCACACCAGCCACAGCGATGGCACTGAACAGCTCTCTAGCCTGTGCCAAGTGCTGCCAAAGGTGCGATTTGGCCCATTCTTGCCTGAGGAAGAGAGAAGACCAGGCCAGCTGCTATCCTAGCCAGTTGTCCTCCCTGAGCTTCACACCTGCCATCCCTCCTGTGCACACCAGCACACAGGCAGGAGGGCTGCACAGACACCTCCCACAGGTACCAACATTTTCCTCTCTGCACCTGAGCCAGCTTGATCCTCAGCTCTCCCCAGACAGGTGCAGTGGAGCTTGCACCCAACTTGGTCACAGGTGAGGATAATACTCTTTCGCTGCTAACCCAGGCCACTCACACAGGGCAGAGGCAGGAAGCAGAATAAGAGGCCAGTTGCTTCTGGCCCTCTTTAGACACCACCTAGACTGTGATGAATGAAACTGTGACTGTAGCGAGGAAAGACACGAGTCACAGCGCTGCTGGAGAGGGCTGCACTGTCAGCATGGCTCACTTTTCCAACAGCCTTGCACCCTCCAGCCAGGATCCTGACCTGGCTCACAGAGGGGGAACAGAGGAGGAGGCCGGCCCCCGTGCAGGCTCCATATTTACTTAGCAGGACAAACAGACTAGTGTCTTTACTGCTAGTTAACGAAGCAAGACACATCATGAGCCCATGTGCTTCAGGACAGAAAAGCACAGCCTCAAACTCGGTCCCTCCATTTACTAGCTGTGTCACCTGGAACAATGGCTTTGACCCTCAAAGCCTGTTTCTCCTTATATAAAATGGGCTCTAATGCCAGTCACTCCCCCATGCACCTGCCGTGAAGATTAACGAGTAACCTATGGAAAGTACTCAGCACTATGCCTTGCACAGACTAGACACACGTCCTGTCTCTGAAACCCTTGTCTGGTCCCTTCATCAGATGCACTGCCAAGTTCCCTGTGCTTCCAGGTATGGAGGCCCACCTGAGCAGCTCTCCTTGAAAGAAGAGCGATTATCTCCATTTTGACTGAGCCTGACTCTATTTCCTTGTATTGTTCTGTACAGAGCTGGCTAGGTCTTCTGTTTATTCTTCAATTGGCCTTAAGCAATGTATATTGGTCTAGCTGAGGTGCTGGTGATAGTCTTTCAAGGTGGTGTGCGTGTTTCCCTGGTAACCTACACCTGCTGCTCTTTAATGTAAGCCGGGTTGAGACAGGATGGTAGAGCTAATGCTCCGCGGCGCCAGCTGGGATCGAGCCTCGAAACAGAGACTATGACTTCCTGGGACTTGAAAGGCTACCCAAAGCTGAAGCACCAGACTTACCAAAACATTAGATACTCTATAATGCAGATTACTCTCTCTGCATATCCTCTCTGCATATCGCAGAGGTAAATTTAGGCCACACACCTAGCTCAGCTCATAGTAGTCTCTTTCCCATAATTCTCAGTCAATCCTCAAGCCACTCCCCCACTGAATAAAACTGGGTGAGGCCGTGGGTCACTCTCTTGGTTCCAGAAAGCCATCTTCATGGCTGGACTTAGAGCCCCTTGACTCCCCAATCATTGAAGATATAATTTAGTGTCTTTATTTTCGCCGTGGGTTGCATTGTAAGTGGTAGATTGGAATCAATTTGATGGGATTCCAATAACGTAACTTTGGGATTACAAATATTGGCTTCTTGGACCGAGACGTGGACCTGGAAGTGTCTCCAACATCCAGGACCCTGCTGAGTCCTGATGTGACCTTCTTGTTGTCACAGCAAGTGAATTCTGAATCTTTAGATTCTAAACTAAACACAGTAACAACGAGCTCAAAAGTGAGGGTTCACCTCCCACTCTGGACCCTCATGTTTTAGATGCCCAAAAGCGAACTCACTCACTAAGAGGCCTGGGCACTCTGCCTCCCCACAGGGACCTGGGATTCAACACCTGCTGCCAATAACTTTAAGCTGCCATGATGGGAGTGACCACGAAACGGAGGCAGGCCTCCACCTGAAAGGCAGCCTTTCCGTGGACACACCAGGCAGTGAGATACACGCACAGCGAAACAAGGATGGAGTACACTCAGGGTGCGTAGCAGGGTGAGTGCGCATCTATGCATGTGTTCAGGCCTGTATGTGTGTGTACATGGGTTCCAGTTAATAAGAACTTTTAAGGGCAACAGTGTGCAGAACTAGGCGAGTCTTCTGTGCCATCTTTGCGGCAACTCTGTCTTTCCTACTTAGGGACAGTCTTCAGAAGCTTCTGTAGGGGCCACCTTCAGATTTGCAGAAACAGGTCTGCACTGGTATATGAGCCAGAGTTATCCAACACACTCACCCCCGCACATGTGAGGGTCCTTGTCCGATTGTGAATCTTGTTGTGAATGTACATCATGGTTCCGTCTTGAGCCACACCATTGACTTTGACAGTCATGGAAAAGCTTGTCTGAATAGAAGTTTCTGCAAGAGAAAGAAACTGAGCATCAGAGACCACCTTGGGCCCATCCCACAGCAAAAGTGCCTGCCAGGCTCTGCAGTGGCAGTGGGGCCAGAACACAGTGCCCGCTAGCACTCTGAGGCCACATCACCCTGTGCTATTGAAAACCTCACATTCACTCAGCAATGGAAAGCCCTCCCAGAGATTCTATGTCCAGTCCACAAATGACCTGGCCTGAGCTCAAACCTCCAGTGCAGAGCCCTAACTTTCATTTCACGAGGGTGGGGTGAGTGCTTCACAGCTAATGAAGTTACAGTTTAGTCTTAATTTCCCATAAAAATCTTTCTAACGCTTATCAAAACACACTTTGGTTTTTCTGATTATACTTTATTTTTCTAATTATATTCTCAATAGCATCCAGATAAATGAAATAATAGTAGTTCACCTAACCAAGACAGTGAAAGATCTCTAAAATGAAAATTATATCACTTTGTAAAAGAAGATCAGAAAATGGAAAGATACCTGATGTTCCTGAATAGGCAGAACCACCACAGTCAAAATGGCTATACTTCCAAAACTCACATAGATTTAACATACTCTTTATCACTAGTCATTAGAGAAATGCAAATTAAAACAATACTGAGATTCCATCTTATTCGAAAAAGAGTGGCTATCATGAAATCAAATAATAGGGCCAGGGAGATGGCTCAATG